TTTGGTATCAATATATAAAATTTCTGTAAAGTATTGGACATTGTCCGTATGACATCAAGCAAAATGCTTCAGACAGTATCCATATATAATTAGGCAGTTACCTTAATTCATAACATAATAAATTAAGTTTATTTATTTATTCATTTATATATATATTTTTTTTGAAAGATGATGTTAAATCATCAAAAGTTGAAATTATATTCGAACTACAGATCAAGACATGGGCAAAAATATAGTTGAAGATGAAATATATCGATCATATTCAAAAATAATGAATCTCCATTTGATCGGGAAATTCTAACGAACGAAAAGTAAAGATATTGAAATTTGCCATAAATATATACCTGATACATATACTATATCAAAGTGATCAGACTATTTATATATAAATTAAAATAAAGTTTATATATTTTATTATTTATATTTCCAAAATAAGTTATAAACCTTTTACAGATAACAAATGACAAATGACAAGTTATGTAAATCATATAAGGCATATGATGTTATGTGACAACACTGCTTTCCATAATCACATCGCTGCAGGAATCATCTTCCTTGCAAACCTTTGTTTGATTATTATCGACTTAAAGTAAAAAAGGTTAATTTTTTTTAATTAACTATTTTTTTAAAAAATTTTTGACTTACTGGCACTAGTTAATGTGACGAGAACATAAATAATTTAGATTTCATTTTAACTTATCACTGAAATTTTTATATTTAAATAGTAGCTGAGGGAATTAATAAAGGTTATATATTTATATAGTGCTTTGCTGAGAGGTTTAAAATCTCTTGAATTCTTAAATTATTGCACAATTTTGAGGCTTATTTTCACGGATCATAATCTGATGAAAGAATTAATGGTCAACAGAAATTGGGGATTAGAGGTTATAATTATTATTAGAGGTTAGAACCGGTTAATATTAAACTGTTAAGACATAAGTTAACCGGTTCAAACCTCCAATTAATAAAAATACACGGATAGAATAGATTTGATAAATTTAATTTTAAGCTTGTATAACTTTAGTTCTATTTAAAAAAATTTTTTTTAATAATAACTAATTGGTTAGCTACAAAATCAATTTAAACAATAACCGTCTTAAAATCGGTTTATTACAACCAGATCTAACCGCTTTGATTCTTGTTGTGTCGTCATATTCATTTTTTTTTATCTTTATTTTATTTTTATATTTTTATTAGTAGCCATTCCCTTCAAAGAAATTAGTATAATAAATCAAAGAAATTTTCTTAATATGTATACTCCCCGTTTGATTCGTTATACACAAAATTTTTTTTATGAAAGTTTAAAGTACACATAATCTACACTATATATAGTATAAAAAGGTTGATGTATGTAAAGATTAGGTGTGTGAATTTAACCTTTATATTGTAATAATTTTAAGCAGCTTATAATTTAATATGTCATATTAATTTTTTTTATAGTATGTTAAGAAAAGATATTTTAAATGATTTTTATTTTATATAACATATAAAAATAAAAACATTTGAATGGATTTTAAGGCACTATAAAAATTGGCAATGTGATGTAGCTTTAAACAAAATTATATATTAAAATTTTCTTGCTTTTCGTTAGCTTTACAAAATTACACAAAAAAATCATTAGTCAAACAATTGCTAAAATTTTATATTCAGTTGAAAATTTACCAGAGGTTGAAAATTTTTTAATGATGATTTGAAATGAAGAAAAAATCTTTGATTTATGGAAACAACCATTTATTGGATAAATAGTTAATATTGATGATATTGATAATTTATCTGAACCAAATTCTTCTATGATGATATGTCCAATAAGTAATGATCTTGGATTTCCGTTTTCATATTATTTTCAATTATTTATTATAAAAAGTATTATTATGAAGAATTGAATATATTAAAGCAAGATTCAGAAAATATCAATAATAATAATGAATTACTGATAATCATGTATTTTTCCTAAAAAAATTTCCTAATTCTTAGGAATTTTACACAATCCTAAATTAAATTTTTTACTCCTGAGAATCACCCTTATTGGAATGAAAAATGTGGCTTGTACGTAAAAATTCAATAAATAAAATCATGTCGCGATTCGCGTCAAACAATTTTTTTATTTTTATGCTTTAAACAAGTTGCCTTAGTCCCTGACAGGGCGTTCTAAACTGTTCACTGTGAGGCAATTATTCGAAATTAGAAACAGGAGTTGTAACTTGTAACTGAATATTTATTGCTATGAATAATTCTAATAAATAACTATACATTGTATTAAGAGATGTCAAATTTTGTATTTTATAAAACTAAAATCCAAATGATGATATAATCTATTATTAAAAATATTTAAAAATCTCTTCATCAAGGTTTAATTTCAATTAATTTTTATAAATCATCACCAGTCTTAAATTAATTTTACGATTTAAATGTGGCAAGAAATTTTATAGTCAATTATTTCTAATATCTATCTTTTATCTGTTTGCAAAAAAAATTAAATAATAAAAATTTTTTTACCAATGAAAAAAAAATTATGATTAAAGTAGTTATATGGATTACTAATTCTGATAATTCATTTCTTTTCTTGGTTAGATAAATTGGAATTATAATAATGTTATAAAAAATAATTTTAATTTTACTTAATTTAATTTAGGTAGTTAAATTTATGAAAAAAAAAATTTTATGGCTATTTCCGGATTACTACTAATTTTTTTTTAAAAGGAAATTAATTTCTTTTTTTAGTTTAGTAGATCATAATAAATCTAAGTACTAAAAAATTATTACTTTACTTAATTCAGTTAGTTTAACTTATGCGAGAACTATTATATTTTTGTTATTCAGATTTTGATCAATTTTAAATTTATGATGAAAAAAAAAAATTTTGGTTCTCAAACAATTATGCCTTTGGTTTTTTAATAAAAAAACCTAGATAATTATATATATATATTATTAAAAAAAAATAAATTCTGTTCTTCTTAGATAATTATTTATTATTAATTTTAAGAAAAAAATTCTCATACTATTTAATAAAGAAATAATCTAGTTTATTGTGTTTTTTTTAATTGTTTAATTAAATTATTGAAAAAATCTTTCGTAACTGTATGTTGATCATATGACTTCTGACGAAAAAAAAGATCTCAAATTAATTATAATTATACCTTTTATTAATTTAATAAAGAAAATCTTATATAGTTTTAAGAATTCTCATATTTAATAAAATAGTAATCTATTTTATTGTGTTCTTTTTTAATTGTTTAATTAAAATTATTGAAAAAATCTTTCATAACTGTATATTGATCATTTTAGTATATCTTTAACAAAAAAAAAAAGATCTTATACAATTATAATAATTGACTTTTGTTTTATTTAAATAAATAATACAGTGTCTTAGATAAGATTTATCATTAATTTTGCAGATAAAAATTCTCATATTTAATAAAAAAAAAAATCTACCCCATTGTACTTTTTAATTATTCAAATCAACTACTATCATAAATTTTTTAATCAATATTTTTATTTTTACTCATTTTTTTTATTAGTGAAAAAATTAAATTTGATCTAATGGTTTAGTAAAAGGATTTACATTTGATCATATAAAATAGTACATGATTATGCCGATCATTCTTCTATCCCTTAAACTATTGTTCTAAATTCCGCGGAATTTTCAGGATTTCCGCAGAGGATTCCATGGAATTACAGTTTAGATCGGCACATGAGTAGTTGTAAATCGCAGCCAAATTTAGCTGCAAAACACTTTAAGGGATAATATTAATAAGCATTGGATTACAAATTTTTTAAGAGAACTCATACTATCTTTTTTTGTTTAGTTAAACTGGAATTGTAAGAATAATATACTATTATTTAATTACCTAATTTAGTTAATAAAGATTATGTAAATTAATTGTATATTGAAAAAAAAAGTTCTATGATTATTTTTGGCATAATTGATGGTCATTTTAGCTTAATTTTATGATGAAAAAAATCTAAGATATTTTTTTTTAAAAAAAAAAAAAATACAATAATAGTAATAAATTACAATTGTTCTTAGTTAACTAACTTATTGAAGATAGTTTAAAATCACTATCCCACAATTTTTACAAAAAAGAAAAATACTATATGGACGCGTCTTATTTGACAGGCGGTAGGGGTGGGTCAACAGTATTGAACTGTATGACATGTACATATATATATATATATATAGAAAATTTTTCTCTGAGTGATTTCCTTTTTGAGATGCCGATCCTCTATATTTAGTACCGATTTACTAATTATTTACTAATTATGTAATATATTTTCTATTGTCTTACATTTGAACTTTTCCTTTTTTATATTTAAATCAATCAACAAATCTTTTAGTGGTGTAATTATCAATAATGATAATTCAATTATATCAATGGTTATTATTATTTATAGGTTTCATAGTTTTTTTATAAAAAGAAAATACTGCCAATATTCACTTTCTTCCAATATTCAACGTGATGCTCTTAATTTGAAAATAATAAGCCACAGTTTTCATTCCAAAAAGGGTGATTCTCAGGGATAATTTAGGATTGTGTTAAATTCCTAAGAATTAGGAAGTTTTTTTAGGAAAAATACATGATTATGAATTACTGTATATAATGAATTAGTTGAAAATCATATTGAAGATTTTAAGAATAATTAGGGATTATTTGTGACTATATTTTTAACAAAAGTTTTTTTTTTTAATAAATATCTCATTGTGTTAAAACCACCTCATTATTTATGATTTTTTAATAATGTATACTTACTGTAAATCTGGAATATTTAATAAATACATTTTCTAATTGTTTATTTTGTTTTCATTTTTTTATACAAATTGATAAGGAATCCTGATATCATTACATTATTGCAGATTATTTTTTTAATATTTTGATTGACTTTATCAAACAAATTTGCATCCATTTTTAATCTTTTATTTAAATAAAAATAAATTTATTTGAACTATAAACAATTTTTATTTTTTATTAAACTAAATAAAATATCTATTACAAATGATACTTTTTTTATCATCACAAATAAAATTTGTTTATTTAAAGTTTTTATGAATCAATAAATAAAGTCAATATAAAAATTTATATTTAAATTTAAATTATACAATCCAAACACTCAGAATTATTTTGATATAAAATTTCAGTAAGCAAGCGGCTTGTATAATATGCTTGTGGATGAGTTTGTAAAACAGAAATATTAGCTTGTTCTTGCATCAAATCTCTATTTGCTTTTATAAATTCATACATATCATTTCTTAATTGATTACCAATATTAGGAACTTCATAACTTTGTTCATCTTCACTATTAAATATATAATATTCATTAATACTTCTAAGCCATTCAGATATAGTATTTTCAATAATTACTATATTTGGTCTTTTGGAAGGATCTGAAACCCAGCACTTTTTCATCAAATCTATATAACATTTTGGAGTATTTTTTATAATTTCAGGGAGATCTCCTTCACAAATACTTAAAATAAGTTCAACATCATGTGCTTTATTATTAAATGGAGGAATACCTGATGTAAATTCCCACATAATCATTGAAAAACTATAGATATCACTTGCTGGAGTATAAGGGTTGTTTCTTAATATTTCAGGTGCCATATAAGGTATAATTCCATAAACTTTATCAATTTTATCATCAGAATTTTGTATAGGTTTGCATAATCCTAAATCAATAATATATATTTCATTATAATCATCTGATATTAAGATATTACCATCATGAAAATCACAATGAGTAAGTTCTGATTCATGTATTACTTTAAGTCCTAAAATAATTTTTTTCAATAATTGCAATTTAGTTTGCCATTTAAATTTAACTATATTAGATAAACATTTTTTCAAACTTCCATTTTTTGCATAACTCATTATTATTACATAATTTAAATTATTTGGATCTTGGGAAATTCCAAAGAATTGAATAAATTTTGAAAATGATTTTTTCTGACAATTATAATGGTGTTTCCACTATATATAGTAAATATTTAAAATTATTAATTTATAAAATAAAATAAAATATACAATTATTAGTACCTAATAAATAAAAATACTATACCTCATCTAAAAATTTATCACTTAAACTTGATGAATCATTAAGATTTTTAAGAATAACTTCATATTCAGTCCATCTATTCCATTGTTGTTCATCAAAGTTCCAACTATCAATAGGTCCATCTAACCAGATAGCACTATAAATTTAACTAAATCCTCCTTTATCATAATAATTAATATTATTCAATTTATTATAAGGTATCCATTCTAAAAATTCATAAATACTTTTAGAATTTAGTTGTGCTTCTTGAATAAATTTATCAATAAATTTATTTTTACTAGTCCATTTTGAAAATTCTTGCTGAAATTGTTTAATATTACATTGTTGGCACCATTTGTAATCAATATATGGTTGATTGCACTCCTTACATAAGTTGTTAATTTTAAAATTATCAGAAGTCATTTTGTGCCAATAAAAGGCTTTTTCCAAATTCTTCTCTGTTCCTTCACCATTTTCATAACATAAGGCAAGATTGTGCATTGATTCTTTATCACCCTTCTCTGCTGCTTTCTGAAACCAGTGAAAGGCCATTTTCAAGTCCTTCTCTGTCCCTTCACCATTTTTGTAACATAAGGCAAGACTGTGCATTGACCATTCATAACTCCTCTCTGCTCCTTTCTGAAACCAGTGAAAGGCCATTTCCAAGTCCTTCTCCGTCCCTTCACCATTGTAGTATTGTAAGGCAAGACCATGCATTGACATTTCATTGCCCTTTTCTGCCGCTTTCTGAAACCAGTAAAAGGCCATTTCCAAGTCCTTTTCTGTCCCTTCACCATTTTCATAACATAAGGCAAGACTACGCATTGACTCTTCACTACCCTTCTCTGCTGCTTTCTGAAACCAGTAAAAGGCCATTTCCAAGTCCTTCTCTGTCCCTTCACCATTGTAGTA